ACCCTGTTCCATGAGGTTTATTCTTTTCTCCAGGTATATGCAGTTTGGCACAGCCCTCTTTCCTGTTGCTCTTTCAGGATTAGTCATAATAATTATATTTTCATATTATATGCAGTTTTAGGAAGAAGCCTGTGTCTCACCTCTCACACCCGCATCTTTAGTATCGATGGTGCAAAGATCTTGATAGAAAACTGGTAAATGTATTTTAATAATATAAAATGTCTCCCTATGTCCATGATGATAATATATTCAAGGGGTTTACAAGTTTAAATAAAAAATTATCTAGACATACATAAATGTGTAGTCTATATGAAGGAAATTATAAATCTTCATTGAATAGTAGTTTACAAGATAAGTAATAAGAGTTACAAATCATTTTCCTGAATAAAAAGATGAAGTATATTTTGGAACAACCTTCCAAACAAAATCTCAAGAAAGTTTTGTGTTTTCACTTTCTTGTTTGTATTCTGTTGCTAGAACAAATGCAAATTTTATATGGAATAATGAGGAGTCAAAAATTTTGTGAAAATGCAGACTAGAGCTTAGCTGAAGATACATCTTTAATAGCTAAAGTAATTATTTCAGTCCTGAGTCAGGAAAAAAAACATGTAAAGTCTTAAGACTGCATAACTTTGTACATGATAATGGTGATATTTCAAAGAAATGGAGAAAAATTTGTAACTGATTATCTCCAGGAGCATAATAACAGTAGATGTTGATTTTAATGTTGAGAATGCATGACATCATTGCAAAGATAAAAAATTATTTCAAAGTTTGAATTTATGAAATCTGAACTTGAAAAAAATCCTTCTGTAGACAAATTTTAGAGTGTATTTCAAAAAAATTGGAGAGGATATAATTTTGATGTGGAAAAATACAAAGTGATAAAAGCTATTATACATAGTTCTCATTGTTACTGTAAAGAGGTAAAGTTAATCTTTAGTTTATTACAAAGAGCATACAAACCAAGAATACAATAGTAATCTTTTATAATCAACTATTATCAAATGAGCACCTTAATTAAAATGAGGCTAAAGACATGAGCCAATGTTAATAAACTGAAGATGAGCAATCAACAAATAGTGTTCATTTGTTCAATATCTCTAGGAAGTCAACATAAAAACTGTCTTACAATGTCACATAAATAAGGTTGGAAAAAATGTAAAAGAACAGGATCTACTGTGGGAAATGGGTTTAGAGAACCCACATTTTCAGATTTTGGATACGAGTGAAATCCATGCAGCCTTTCTGGTGTCAGTTTAATCCAAAATGAAATGAACTTAAATTTGAATCCAGAAATTGCACTTTTAGAAAGAAATTCTAAGAAGAAAACTTGGAGAAATGTACAAAGATGGATGCTCAAAGGTGTTCCTCCAGTGTTTTCTTATGATGATAAAAATATTGGAAGCCACTTTCAATGAGATACAAGTTAAATGGTATTGGCCCTAATATGAAATCCTAGTCATTAAAAATATCATGTGAGAAAAATAGAAAAATGTTAATGACATATTATGAAATGACAAATGGAATTTGCAGTGTGTATCCTATTCTAAGACTGTGTGTGTGTACCAAAACAGAAAACTGAAATATAAGAAGTCAAGCCAAATACCATAGACAAAATTACAATCCACCTACAGCTAAATGTAAAGAGTAGTAGTATTATTTTTTCATTAAATTTCCCATATAAATAAAATTGAAGGTCACATTTTAGAGAATATGTTTATGACTCCTATGGTATTTTAAAGCCACTTTATTTGTATTTATGAGCATAATTATTTCCTCATCATTACCTATTAAGTGCATGGTGTTTCACAGTTTCTCACAAACCTCCAGTGTCTGCTTTTCCAAATTAAGTTCGATGTTTTTCATTACTACCACTAACATTACCAATTTTAAAACTGATACATTTTTATAGGATTTTGTTTTAAACTATATAATGGAGTATCTGCACAAATCACCATATCATTTGGAAAAAACATAAACCAATAAAGTAGATCATCCATAGGCTATTAAAAATGATAAGGTTTATTTCTCTTTAGTAGCAATTACAACTTGCAAATCACTGGGCATGCTAGCTTTAAAATGACATAATTCCAGGCAACAAAATATGATTTGGAAATGGTATTTATAATTATGCCTGCAATGTAGGACTTTAATACTTGGACAGTATTTCTGATTTGCAAAACTCAAATTCCCATAAGAATCCAGTCTATTACAAATTCTCTATTGGTACATATATATGGATTGAAATGCATGGAAAAAGGCCCAGGATACATGCTGAAGAAAAACAGTTATTTCAGGGGAAATATCTAAGGTGGGAGGGTTTGAAGAATACTCCTATTATAGTTCATAAATGTTTATGCCCTCTTCTCCCAATCTGGGTGCTGGTATGGACCATCAGCACAGCAGCAGCCAGTCCTGGAAGTCCCACTACCCCATGGGCAGCAGCCACCTGCCACTCTTCTCCAAGTTCCTTTTCTAAGGAATGTGGCCAGACCCACAGGAGCAGAGCATGCCTTCATTAGGAACTAGAGTTCAAAATGCCTCTCTTATTCTCTGAGGACGTAGGCTTCCTTTGAGGAGTAGACAAGTTAGAATTTTTAGCTTGTATGTGCAGGTAAACTCTTTCAGATGGAGTTAACCATGACCATTTTGTAGATGAGCCCACAGAGGATCAAGCATCCCAAACTGCGGACTCCAGACATGGTTGGGGAGGAGGCAATACAGTAAGCATCACTTCACCTCCCCAAGTATCTGAGGGGCACTTGCTCTTAAAAAGTGGTGTCTATGAGCAGACATCAGTTCCTCATTGCCTCAAAACCTGGGGATGTAAGGTCTAAGAGGTCTAAGGAAGGTATGGTTCCTCAGATAAAAGCTGGGAAACTGAGGTTATCCAGTGTCTGGTCACTGAGGGGAGATGAAGATTCAGTGGAAACAATAGGAGCTGTAACAGGGTAAGCCTTCCCCCCACAGATAAATGGGGAGGTCCAGGGCAATTACAGCTGCACTCTCCAGGCTGAGGGTGTCTAGGATATCTATCACAGGTTGAACCCTTCCAGAGACTATGGCTCTACCCTTCCCAGCCAAGTACAAGCTGGATGTGAAGTGACAAGAACACAACAGGTAAGGGGGGGCCAAGTTCAAACCAGAATATGGGCCCAATTCCCAATAAACAAGTTTTTGGGAGTTTATCAGGAAACAATTTCCAGGTTCTGGGAATTTCAACTGTTTAATCATTTCAGAAAGCCATACTGATGACTCAGCAATTCCTTTTCTGATTTTACATACTTGAGCATTTTCAAGCTCTGGGAGATGACCCCATTCATTGGTAGTGAAATCAGTTTACTATATGGGAACAAGCATTTCTCTTAATACAATATAATCCAAAATAAAACATCAAAATACATTAGAGTTAATTAGGGTGTTGTTTTGTGGCCTAATGCCAAGGGTTTGCCAGTTTATGAGGCAGGTTGGGCTGGCCAGGAGAAAAGCGCAGTAGGCTGTGCATCACAGAGGGGTCCTTCAAGCTGTGTAGCCAGGCAGGGAGCTAGAGCCCCTGAATATCAAGAAAGTTCCCAACCTGCTAGGCAGAGTGCACCTGGACAATTTTATCTACCTGTTGTTTCTCCTGAGCAGTAAGCTCTGTGCAATCCTTGCCCCTTTAGTAGCCCTCTTGTTGTTAGGAAGTCTGTCAGACTGCCCACCTTTCTTTTGTCCCAGAGCAGCTGGGTATGGATCCCTAATCTCCACAAGTGTCTGAAATCTCAGTCTCTCCTGGTATTCTGCCTCTATCAGCTTTCCAACCCCCTAATCATGAGAGTACCATGAAAGCACCATGAAATGTAGGTTTGTTTCCAGAGCAGATCTCCAGTTAAGTATTCAACAGCCCCTGGCCTCCACTCCCTCCCTGTGCCATTTCTCTTCCTCCGCCAGTGAGCTGGGGTGGGGGAAGGGCTTGGGTTCAGCTGGGCCATGGCTTTGGTATATTACCCTGTTCCATGAGGTTTATTCTTTTCTCCAGGTATATGCAGTTTGGCACAGCCCTCTTTCCTGTTGCTCTTTCAGGATTAGTCATAATAATTATATTTTCATATTATATGCAGTTTTAGGAAGAAGCCTGTGTCTCACCTCTCACACCCGCATCTTTAGTATCGATGGTGCAAAGATCTTGATAGAAAACTGGTAAATGTATTTTAATAATATAAAATGTCTCCCTATGTCCATGATGATAATATATTCAAGGGGTTTACAAGTTTAAATAAAAAATTATCTAGACATACATAAATGTGTAGTCTATATGAAGGAAATTATAAATCTTCATTGAATAGTAGTTTACAAGATAAGTAATAAGAGTTACAAATCATTTTCCTGAATAAAAAGATGAAGTATATTTTGGAACAACCTTCCAAACAAAATCTCAAGAAAGTTTTGTGTTTTCACTTTCTTGTTTGTATTCTGTTGCTAGAACAAATGCAAATTTTATATGGAATAATGAGGAGTCAAAAATTTTGTGAAAATGCAGACTAGAGCTTAGCTGAAGATACATCTTTAATAGCTAAAGTAATTATTTCAGTCCTGAGTCAGGAAAAAAAACATGTAAAGTCTTAAGACTGCATAACTTTGTACATGATAATGGTGATATTTCAAAGAAATGGAGAAAAATTTGTAACTGATTATCTCCAGGAGCATAATAACAGTAGATGTTGATTTTAATGTTGAGAATGCATGACATCATTGCAAAGATAAAAAATTATTTCAAAGTTTGAATTTATGAAATCTGAACTTGAAAAAAATCCTTCTGTAGACAAATTTTAGAGTGTATTTCAAAAAAATTGGAGAGGATATAATTTTGATGTGGAAAAATACAAAGTGATAAAAGCTATTATACATAGTTCTCATTGTTACTGTAAAGAGGTAAAGTTAATCTTTAGTTTATTACAAAGAGCATACAAACCAAGAATACAATAGTAATCTTTTATAATCAACTATTATCAAATGAGCACCTTAATTAAAATGAGGCTAAAGACATGAGCCAATGTTAATAAACTGAAGATGAGCAATCAACAAATAGTGTTCATTTGTTCAATATCTCTAGGAAGTCAACATAAAAACTGTCTTACAATGTCACATAAATAAGGTTGGAAAAAATGTAAAAGAACAGGATCTACTGTGGGAAATGGGTTTAGAGAACCCACATTTTCAGATTTTGGATACGAGTGAAATCCATGCAGCCTTTCTGGTGTCAGTTTAATCCAAAATGAAATGAACTTAAATTTGAATCCAGAAATTGCACTTTTAGAAAGAAATTCTAAGAAGAAAACTTGGAGAAATGTACAAAGATGGATGCTCAAAGGTGTTCCTCCAGTGTTTTCTTATGATGATAAAAATATTGGAAGCCACTTTCAATGAGATACAAGTTAAATGGTATTGGCCCTAATATGAAATCCTAGTCATTAAAAATATCATGTGAGAAAAATAGAAAAATGTTAATGACATATTATGAAATGACAAATGGAATTTGCAGTGTGTATCCTATTCTAAGACTGTGTGTGTGTACCAAAACAGAAAACTGAAATATAAGAAGTCAAGCCAAATACCATAGACAAAATTACAATCCACCTACAGCTAAATGTAAAGAGTAGTAGTATTATTTTTTCATTAAATTTCCCATATAAATAAAATTGAAGGTCACATTTTAGAGAATATGTTTATGACTCCTATGGTATTTTAAAGCCACTTTATTTGTATTTATGAGCATAATTATTTCCTCATCATTACCTATTAAGTGCATGGTGTTTCACAGTTTCTCACAAACCTCCAGTGTCTGCTTTTCCAAATTAAGTTCGATGTTTTTCATTACTACCACTAACATTACCAATTTTAAAACTGATACATTTTTATAGGATTTTGTTTTAAACTATATAATGGAGTATCTGCACAAATCACCATATCATTTGGAAAAAACATAAACCAATAAAGTAGATCATCCATAGGCTATTAAAAATGATAAGGTTTATTTCTCTTTAGTAGCAATTACAACTTGCAAATCACTGGGCATGCTAGCTTTAAAATGACATAATTCCAGGCAACAAAATATGATTTGGAAATGGTATTTATAATTATGCCTGCAATGTAGGACTTTAATACTTGGACAGTATTTCTGATTTGCAAAACTCAAATTCCCATAAGAATCCAGTCTATTACAAATTCTCTATTGGTACATATATATGGATTGAAATGCATGGAAAAAGGCCCAGGATACATGCTGAAGAAAAACAGTTATTTCAGGGGAAATATCTAAGGTGGGAGGGTTTGAAGAATACTCCTATTATAGTTCATAAATGTTTATGCCCTCTTCTCCCAATCTGGGTGCTGGTATGGACCATCAGCACAGCAGCAGCCAGTCCTGGAAGTCCCACTACCCCATGGGCAGCAGCCACCTGCCACTCTTCTCCAAGTTCCTTTTCTAAGGAATGTGGCCAGACCCACAGGAGCAGAGCATGCCTTCATTAGGAACTAGAGTTCAAAATGCCTCTCTTATTCTCTGAGGACGTAGGCTTCCTTTGAGGAGTAGACAAGTTAGAATTTTTAGCTTGTATGTGCAGGTAAACTCTTTCAGATGGAGTTAACCATGACCATTTTGTAGATGAGCCCACAGAGGATCAAGCATCCCAAACTGCGGACTCCAGACATGGTTGGGGAGGAGGCAATACAGTAAGCATCACTTCACCTCCCCAAGTATCTGAGGGGCACTTGCTCTTAAAAAGTGGTGTCTATGAGCAGACATCAGTTCCTCATTGCCTCAAAACCTGGGGATGTAAGGTCTAAGAGGTCTAAGGAAGGTATGGTTCCTCAGATAAAAGCTGGGAAACTGAGGTTATCCAGTGTCTGGTCACTGAGGGGAGATGAAGATTCAGTGGAAACAATAGGAGCTGTAACAGGGTAAGCCTTCCCCCCACAGATAAATGGGGAGGTCCAGGGCAATTACAGCTGCACTCTCCAGGCTGAGGGTGTCTAGGATATCTATCACAGGTTGAACCCTTCCAGAGACTATGGCTCTACCCTTCCCAGCCAAGTACAAGCTGGATGTGAAGTGACAAGAACACAACAGGTAAGGGGGGGCCAAGTTCAAACCAGAATATGGGCCCAATTCCCAATAAACAAGTTTTTGGGAGTTTATCAGGAAACAATTTCCAGGTTCTGGGAATTTCAACTGTTTAATCATTTCAGAAAGCCATACTGATGACTCAGCAATTCCTTTTCTGATTTTACATACTTGAGCATTTTCAAGCTCTGGGAGATGACCCCATTCATTGGTAGTGAAATCAGTTTACTATATGGGAACAAGCATTTCTCTTAATACAATATAATCCAAAATAAAACATCAAAATACATTAGAGTTAATTAGGGTGTTGTTTTGTGAAATCAGATATACGTTGTTAGTCTTTCTCATATACAGACACACACACACACACACACTTCCTCCAGATATATGAATGGCTCACTCCCTCCACTGCAGCTTTCCCAAGTGAGATCTTTCTCCATACTATATAAAATCAAACCACCCTTCTGACAATTTTTTCCGTTTTTATTTTGCTACTTTGTAATGCTTTTTACCATCTTCTCCCTTGCAGATGTATTTCCTTGATATGACTGCTGGCAGCACCAAGGACACAAACTATGTGGTTATGGTGACTTCTCAGTAGAAATATTCTAGAATGGGTTCTCAGTAGCCTATTTTGTAACAAATGATCATTCTTAGATCCATACAAGTTGCTCAAGAAGAGATGTTATCATAGAGGGTGTGCTCACAACTCTGTGCTTAAGGACAGGTTGTAACACTGGAGGGAACATAGAAAAGTGCATTGAACAAGATAGCCACTACACATAATATTTACGTACATGATAAAAATGCAATAACAAGCCAATATGAAAAAGGGTGAATTACCTCACCCTTTTTCAAAAGAGCTGCTTACCTCATACCACATATAACAGGAAACCCCACAAGATATACGAATAACGTGTTTCATGCATGTCAGATACTTGCCACAGTGCTCAGTTCCAAAAAGAATTTACTTATGATGACACAAAGCCACAATGAAGCAGAAACACTTAATTTTCAACTAGTAGAATAACTTTATTTCTGAGAGCTTACATAGGGATTTATAGGATAAAAACACTGTGTTGCTTATTCTCCACTGGCTCCACCCAGACCTTCTCTCCACTTTGTGCCCTCCTGGGCTTACCTGTACATGGCATCTGACTGGATTCTCCAAAGGGAGGCCCCAGCAATTTGGTGCTATAATTCTGATAGTGACATCTCCTATATATATAAGGTGACCCCTCTTCCATGACAGAAACTCTTACTAGGCTCTGATAACATCGGTTTCTGTCCTTTGTCTCTTTAGTACTTAGAACCATGATAGCTTCCTGCTGATACTAGTCTCTAGGTGCTTCAGTATCCCTTGTCTCTGGCCCGTGGCACTGTAATTTAAAGTCCTTCATTAAAATCTTAAGCTGGGAGTTTTTCATTAGCACCATGGCTGACACAAATAGCTATCATTAAATTAACCTGTGAAAAGAAACCATTCTTCCCCCAATCACTCTATAGAACATTAACTTAGAAAAGTATTTTTATCAGCTGGAATGCATTCAGCTCTAAGAAACAGACAGCCCTAAGAATAAATAAGGAACTGTCAATACCGCAGTAATACAAAGTCCTAAGTACAGCAGGTCCAGATAGTTGTGCAGCTCAGTGATGTCACCTCTGAGCTAGGCTTTCACCATCATGTGTGCTGTTATCTCCAGGCTATTGCCCTGCAGGGCCATAAACTATAATCTGGTATAACACACAGATATGAAAAAGTCCAGCAGAAGAGAGACCATTTATTCTTGTCTTCTCCTGTCATGACACTATTTTATCACGAGTACTTTCCCAGAGTACTGCTGAGTATTTTCCAAATATTTCACTGGTCACATGTCCACCCCAACAAAATCATTAGCAAGGATCGCTATGATTAACCCAGACTAATCTGGGTTTACTCCTAAATCATCTGTGGGAAGGATGAACAGAGACAAAACAGACTCCAGCAAGTTAAGTAGTAGGGAATGGTTGCTGGGTGGGCAGTGTCTCTTGGAGCTGATTATCAAGTGTTCCAAGGAAGCATGGAGAGCAGCAGGACAAAGGGGCAGAGATAGTACATGACACTCTGTTAAGTACAAATACACAGTTTCTGGGGTACATACAATATAGCATGCCTAAACAGGTATAGAATTGAGACACCAAGAGAATAAAAGAGGCATTTCATTACATACCACTACCTTTTTATTTGCACAGCGCAGCTTTACTGTTTATAACTGATGTTAACTTTTGCAAAACTTGTGTTAAGAACCGTTGTTATTGGCAGCATTTACATTACTCACTGACCCAGAAGCAGCTGAAAAACATAAAAATTGTTTCATTCTTTATATAAGTGGTAGCCCAGTAATAATGGCCATACTCATTCACATATGTGAACATCAGGGGAAAGGTAGGAGATACGGTTGTAAAATAACATCTGGCCAAACCCTAAAGAGACTATGCTAGTGATAAGATAGGGCTGATGCAGAGGTAGTTTAAAAACCTCACAAAAAATGTTTTTGGGTTCTTTTATTGAAAAGGCAGTTAAGCAATAATGTCCATAGCCATTTATTAACATCAGGAAATAGAAGGGGTATGTGACTTGTACTTTAAATCTGTTATGGTGTAAATACTCCCACTAAAGCCAGGCTACCAACATGTGGCACTGAACAGAGTTGGTAAGAGATGTACAGTAAGCACACCATTATATAGGCATAACTCATTTTATTGTACATTTTAGATTCTGTTTTTCACAAATTGAAGATTTGTGGCACTACCACAATCTTGATGCCATTTTTCCAGTAATATTTGCTTATTTTGTGTTTGTCACACTTTGGTAATTCCTACAATATTTCAAACTTCTTCATTAGTATTGTATTTGTTATGGTGATCTGTGATCAGTGATTATGATTCACTGAAAGGTCAAGTGATGGTAGCATTTTTTAACAATATTTTTAAACCTAAAGTATTAACTTTTTTCAGACATAATGCTATTTCACATTTCATGGACTTTTATTTATATTAACTGGGAAACCAAAAAGTCATTGAGTCATTTTATTGCAATATTTACTTTACATCAGGAAATAGAAGGGGTATGTGACTTATACTTTAAATCTTCTATGGTGTAAATTTTATTGTGGTGGTCTGGAATGAAACCTACAATATCTTTGAGGTATGCCTGTATTTTTCACCATGTAGATTCAGTAAGTAAGTAGCCCAAAGAAAAAAGATAATTGAAAAATGTAAAATAATTAGGAAGTGGTGAGTGTTGAGTATTCATTACCCTTTTTTAAAATAATGACCATTTAACAATTGGCTCACAAAATTCCTAAAAATTTAACAATCAGCAGTACTTGTAAGACAGCATGAACTTACTCTAGAGCATACCACTGTTTGTGAGGATGTGTGTATAAAAACATTTATATATACATACATAATTATGCTAACCTATATCCTTGTGGTAGTGTGGGAAATATTAAATAGGCTGCAATGCTTATATAACTAGGGATTCATATTTTCTCTTTACAAGCATGTTGGGCTCCAGTATACAAACCAAGCATACCTCAAATTTGTTATATTAGCACACTCACATAAGGCTTGCAAACATCAGGGACTCTTCATGTTTGTTTACTGCTATTGTTATTCAACTTTTTGTAAGCCTCAGACTCTACTCTGACTATGGGTATAACTGAATATCATTCATTATATTTACAAAAAAAATTTGGTATCACATCTAGGATATGGCACTACACAACATAATTTATAAATATTTTTACATTACTTAAAGGAATAAATTTCCCCTCGGTACAAATTTTATGTTTTTTTCTTGAAAGCTTTCACATACTTAAACATCAAGTTTTATTCTAAGTTATTATTTGAAGTATGCATGAGACATCACTTTCTAGCATTTCTAGTTCATTCTTTGGATTTCATTAATCTCACATTAAAATACTGTATTAAGAAACTGAAAGAGTGGATGAAAGCTTCTGAACATCAGGACGTTGAAAGAGCTTTCACCCTTGTGTGAATTCTCTGATGTTTAGTGAGTACCGACCTCTGACTGAAGGTCTTCCCACATCCATTACACTCATAGGGTTTCTCCCCTGTGTGAGTTCTTTGATGTTTAGTGAGAGCTGATTTCTCACAGAAGGTTTTCCCACACTCATTACATTTATAAGGTTTTTCTCCTGTGTGAGTTCTTTGATGTACAATGAGGTTTGACTTCACACAGAAGGACTTTCCACATTCATTACATATAAAGGGTTTCTCTCCTGTGTGTGTTCTCTGATGTACAGTTAATGCTGACCTGTGGCAGAAGGATTTTCCACATGTGTTGCATTCATAGGGCTTCTCTCCTGTGTGTGTTCTCTGATGTTCAGTGAGGTTTGACTTCACACAGAACGTTTTCCCACATTGCTTACATTCATAGGGCTTTTCTCCTGTATGTGTTCGCTGGTGGTTGGTAAGGTGTGGTTTCTGACAAAAGGCTTTCCCGCATTCAGTACATTCATAGGGTTTCTCTCCAGTGTGTGTTCTCTGATGTTGAGTGAGGTTTGACTTCTCCCAAAATGTTTTTCCACATTCACCACATTCAAAGATTTTTTCTCCAGAGTGAGCTCTTCTAAGTTGGGTAAGATGTGACTTTTTGTTGAAATTATTTCCATTTTCACTGTGCTCATAAGGTTTTCCCACCATGTGTATTACCTGATGTTTAAAGATGGGTGATTTTTCCCATATTTTATGATTTACTTTATATTCATGGGGAGTCTTTGTGTATGTTCCCTGATGGATAATGAATGTTGAATTGTCACAGAAGATTTGCCCATTTTCATTATATTCATAAGGATTCTCCCCTATAGGAGCTTGCCGATGTCCCAATCTTAAGTCCATATAGAAGGTCTTCCCACAAATATTGCATTCATATGGCCCCATTTCCAAATGAGTTCTCTGAGATAAACTGAGCTTTAAACTTTGGATGAAGGTCCTTCCACATTCATTATATTTACAGAGCGTCTTTCCTACCTGAGTTCTCTTGTTTGTGAACAAGGCTGCCTCCTCATGGAAGCCTTGTCCATTTTCATTGTACTCAAAAGCCTGGTCAAAAATTGGCTGAGTGAGATGCTGGCTATGATTAAGGATATTCCTTTTTTGATATTTATACAATTTCCATCCAGTAGGAGTTTTCTCATGCCTAATATCAAGAAGCAATTTTTCATATATATTAAACTCATCAGGTTTCTTTCCAGAATAGTTCTTTCTATTAATAATTAAGCCTGAAATATTTTTCAAACTCATTTCACATGAGTCACATACCTTACGTGGAAAATTTCTTGAAGGAACCAAATGTGTACCCAGGTTGAAAGTTTTCCTTATTCTGTCACTACTATCTAAAATTAATGTTTTGTTGGTGGTGAAAGCAAGTTGCCAAAAATGTTCATCTTGATTTTCCTGGCTGCTTTCTATCAGGTCATCAACTTTCCAGTCTTCTAGAAATGAGAAAAATAACCACATCTTATGAATCCTAGAACATTTGAAAGGGAATTGGACTTCTACATAAATGATCTATTATATAGTCAATTCTTTTGTTTTAGGCTCAGGTCCCTAGTGTGAACTAAATCCAAGTATACATTTCCTTTATGTTTCTGGTTTAAGTGGAACATACATACCTGCTACAGGAAACTGGGCAAGGAAACTGGCAATGTCATTTAATATTTTATATATATAAACTTCAAAACTGGATAGAAAAGGGTGAAATAAAATTTAAAGCTCAAGGAACTGGGGAGTGACTGATTCAGAAAGAGGGAAACTCAAGGAACAGGGTGTGTCCAACAGAAATCTTAACACTGAATAAAGTGACAGTGAAGATTAGTCAAGGGCTTTTGGAGGATGAACTGTATGGTGGAGGCAGAAGACAGTTCAATCCTAATCCCCTCAAACACAGATTACTGGAGTGTGAGTTTTACAAGAATACTACTCTGCACATCAACACCAAACTGTACTTCCACAAACACCAACTTCCTCAGGTTCAAATTAACAGTCCTATGGCCCAGGATCTAATTTTTCCTTTAATATACTTCACAGGGAATACTTATTTTTTAAAAATACTATGAGAGAGGCAGAAGAGAGAAGTTGAAATAACTCAAGACATGGTGAGCAAGGGGTGGAGAGTTTTCTGAGTTTTTCATTTATGGAGCAGAAAACTGAGAGAACTGGAACTGGATAAGTTCAACAAAGAAGTTTTCCAGCCTCCACCCTCAACCAAAAAAGGAAAATAGCCTGAGAAAAATTAGAGGAAAAATTCAGTTTGGCAGAGGCAAATCATGGTTTTTCTCTTATCTTCTCACAGCTTGATTACTGTGGTAGGATCCTCACTAATATCCTGTTGTCATTCCTTTTTATTTTCCACTTTATATAGCAATATAAAAATAGGTTTCTGAAAGCACCTATTTCCTGATGTTTTAAGGGCCAATGCTCTACTCCAGACCCTAGCTCTCTATTTAGCTGTAATTCACAATAACACAAAGGTCCAACAGTAACTACAAAACAGATGAGGGGCAAGCATCTCTGCAGAACTAGGTTCATTTTGTTTCCTTACAGCTGTTACTGAGTTTGCGAGACCACTGTCTCATGATTCCTCACTTCAATCTGCTGGTTTTCCCCCAAAACAATTTTGTTTCTGAGGCACTGCTGACCTTTAAGTCTGCGTTTAAACCTAAGTTTATCTTTTATATTTTTAGCTTTTATATTGAGGTTTTCTGCTTTTATATCTAACTTTATCTGTGGCTTTTACTTACTTATGGGACCCATAAGGATTGCATTTCTCTGCATGGTTCTGAGATCTCCAGTAAAACTTTGTCATTAAAATTCTTAGCTTTACTTCACTGTTGCTACCCAATGCAACAATGTGTCACATGCTAAAAAAAAAATCTATGATAATCTCCAGCCCTCTACTCCAAGGACTCACAGTATTATCCTGGCAAGAATGAATCAAAACAAAAATAAACATTCCACAAACTGGATTTGCATTAAGTGCTCAAGCTACCATTCCACAAGCCCATTAAAAATACTTCTGTACAGTTCAAATTGGGTCTCCTAACTTGCTTATTCCAACAGCACACCTTTCACTTAGCTAGCTGCACTCTGGCCTCAGCTCTCCATGGAAGCTCAACATCCTTCAGTGAATGCCAGTGAATGCTACTTTTAATTTAAAATAATAAACCTCAAAAACATAATAATAAAAGAACCAAAGCCAACAAACTCTACAACATCCCTACTATTTTCAGTGTCCACTTGCAGCCTGTAGAAGTTACTGCCTGTATAATTCAGTGTAATGTAAATAGATTCCTTGCTTAATGCTACAGACTTTGTCAAGATGACAGTCTGGCTCTTGACTAGTGTTACCATCTTCCTTCATTGAGGAGATGGTGCATTCAATGATTTTTAAAAAGCAATTTGCATATAAATTATTTCCAAACTGTACCTGCTTAGTGGTAATACATGAGGATAAAATATAGGAATGTGCATTTAGGAAAAACACTACAGAATGTTTTTGGAATGGATGTAAAAGAATGACCTCTTCTAAACTTGGCTTTATGGTTAATCAAAAAAATAATTATTAAAATGGCAGAATTAGGAAGAAAAAGGGCTCTCTTTTTGGAAAAACAAAATCCCAACAAGGAAAGACACCCTAATCAATACTCTCATGATCAGGTCTGAGTTTTTTAGGATACAGCTGCTGGTGGATTAAGGTCATAAAATACGACTATTTAAGTTAAGCAAAAAATTGAGCTCTAATTTAAAATAAGTGAAATAACAAGCCATTACTTTGTACCATGCAGTGTCTAAACACTTTTAATGAAGAATACTAATTTAAGTACTTGAAAAGGCAAAGTAAACAAAAATGAAAGTTTTAAATAGAAAAACAAGCTTTTATAAATAAAATTCAAGTTATAAGACAGTATGGGGTTTAATATAAATTAAAAATTCTGGAAAGCAGGTAGAAATTGAGATAAATAGGACCACATGTAAGAGTCAATGAAAGACTTTCATTTCATTTCTTAGTAAGGAACTTTGTCAACCAGTGAAAGATAATTAATTGGATGCTTTAAAAATAAATTTGGAACTAAATTAAGCCAGGTATGAGAAAATACAGACACAGTTCTGGTTTTGAGCAGTATCAGTGAAACAAGATAATGAAGAGATGTAGAAGATGGCTTTGAAAGGAAAAAAACAAGAGTATGATGAGACTAGTAATAGGGGGATTAACAGTTTTAGCAGTGACCACATACTTGCCATCAAAGTAGTCATAGGTTGGTGGAACGTACCTTATCTGACTCCTGGGAAACCAAACTCTCTTGTTTTCATGCCACTCAGACTGTTCCTTCTCAATCTACTCTAATGAGATTTAATGAATTTATAAGCCTTGTAAGACTTGGCATGAGATCTCATTTTCTCTGGCGTTCACCTGCCTGTGAACTCACTGACTCACCTAGGTGGCCCTCGCTTGGGAGTACTTCCTCTAGTATCCAGGGTTCTTCTCCTTGCTCTATCTTGAAGATCACTTCTGGCTTAGTAATGCAATACCCTGTTAAAAGAAAATAATACAGGACTATGGCTAAACAGCCTGGCTTCAGTGACTCTGAGAAAATGATGGGGAAAAGGTGCACTTTCTCAAGCTGCCAAAGGAGATTAGTCATCTCATGGCCTTGAAGCTTAAGTTTCAAGTCAGAAAATTCCACAGGGAGTTCCTATGTTTCATCAAGTAAGAAATGCATGCTACTGGTTGTCACAAAGAAAAAAATTCTTACCTACTGAGACAAGGTGGCTGTAATTTTCCAAGATCACGTCTCTGTAGAGTATCTTCTGATCAGGATCCAACAGATACCACTCTTCCTGGGTGAAGTCTACACATACATCTTTGAATGACACTTGTTCCTGTAGCAGTTGTTTTGTTGGTAAACACAAGCATATCTTATTTTATTGCACTTCACTTTTTTGTGCTTCACAGATATTGCATTCTTTTTTTATAAACTGAAGGTTTCTGACAATCCAGAGTTAAGTAAGTCTACCAGCACAATTTTTCAAAAAGCATTTGCTCACATCATGTCTCTGTGTCACATTTTGATAGTTCCAACACTGTTTCCAACTTTTTCATTATCACTGTATTTGTTATGGTGATCTGGAATCAGTGGTTAGGACTCACTGAAAGCTTAGATGATGGTTGAGATATTTTAGCAGTAAAGTTTGTTTTTTCAGAAATAATGCTATTACATATTTGAAATACTACAGTATAGTATAAATTAACTTTTGCAAGTACTAGAAAACCAAAAACATCATTTGACTTGCTTTATCGCTATTCACTTGACTGCAGTAGTCTGGAACTGAACCTGTGACATCTCCAAGGTATGACTGTACAATGTTTGGCACCAATAAAAAATTTCATGTTCATGTTATGTGAAAAGACAGAGACTGAATACAAAATAGGCAATAGAGGCAGATCCATAGGGGACCCAGATACTGAAATTAATAAACAAGAACTTCAAAAAGAATTATGATTAATATGTTCAATAAAACAGAGGAAAATGTTAATAAAATAAGATGAGAAAAGTTCAGACATATGGCCTGAGACTGCTCTCCTTTGGCAAGTCTGCTGTAAGCATGTCCACTGGCTCACATCTGGGAACTGGAATTCTGGAGGGTTCTTACCATTCCCTGATAAGAATGGTGCACTGAACCTAAACTGTTTATATACACAATATGCTTTATGCTGCACACATGCCTTCCTTCTAGAGTCTGGAATTTTTTTATGGGCAAAGCAGATATTACCTCTGTGACCAGAACCTGATAAAAGCTCTGAGCACTGTTTACTGAGCTTCATTGGCAGACATTTCATGTTTATTGTCACATCTGATTACTAGAGGCCTTAAGAGTTTCCTGGCAGAAGACTCAGAAGTTTGCACCTGGTTTCCTCTGGACTCCATGTGCCTTTTCCCTTTGCTCTTTTTACTTTGTATCCCTTCACTTTAATAAGTCATAGCCATAACTTATGCTATTATGTGTTGAGTCATCTTAGCCAATCACTGAACCTGGGATAGTCCTGGGGACCTCTAATACATGTGCATGCACACACGCACATACAGATACACACATGTACAAACATAAAATGGGCATTTTGGAGCTGAACAATACAATATCTAAAATTAAGAACTCATCAGATGGATTCAAAATCATATTAGAGAAAGAAGACAAAATCTGAAACACGTATGCATCTAACCAGAGAGTAAAGGCCAAAACTGACATAACTGAAAGGAAAAAGAAAAATCTATCATCACAGCTGGCAACTTCAACAGCTTTCTGCCTGTACTGAGAGATCAAGCAGGCAAAATAAGAATATGGATGACTTGAACAGCACTATCAGCCAGCACGATTTAACTTACATTTATAGGATAGTCCATCCAAAACAATACAATGTATATTCTATCATTTTATCCTAACTCACATGGTACATTCACTAAGATAGACAACTAGTGTAGGCTGAGAAACACACCTTCACAAATTTAAAACAGCTACCATACAAAATATGTTCTCAGACCACAATGGAATTAAAGAGAAATCAATAAGCAAGAGATAGCTGGCAAATCCCCCAAATACTTGAAAATTAAACACATTTATAAATAACCTATGGGTCAAAGAAGAAGTCCCAAAAGAAGTCTGAGAGTATTTTAAATAAAAATGAAAATATTGCCTATTAAAACTTGTGGGATTCAGTAAAAGCAGTGCATAGTATCAAATGTATATATCAGAAAAGAAAGATTAACCTAAGCTTTCACTTCAAAAACTAGAGAAAAAAAGCAAATTAAGCCTAAGGCAAGCAAAATAAAGGAAATAAAAATAAACAATAAATCAATGAACTTGAAAAACATGAAAAAAATAGAGAAAATCAGTGAAAGCAAAAGCTGCTTCTTTGAAAAGGTCAATAAAATACACCTCCAGAAAATCTAACCAAGAAAAAAGGGAAAATAAATTGCGTCTTTCAAAAATGTTGAAATATGACACTACTGATCTTAAGGATGTTTAAAGAATAATATGAGGATACTATAATTATGCTCCTGAAAAACTATTAACTTAGACGAAATGGACAAATTCCTTAAAAGACACAGCTACTAAATATCCACAGGGAGAAAGACAAACCTGAAAAAAATCTATGCCTGCTTAAAAAATTGAATCAGAAGCAAGAACATACAATAGAGAAGACAGTCTCTTCACTAAATGGTGTGGGAAAACTGGACAGTTACATGCAAAAGAATGAAAATGGATCACTTTTTCACCACACACCAAAATAAACTCAAGATGAACTGAAGACCTAAATATGAGATTGAAACCATAAAACTAGAAGAAAACATAAGCAGTAAACTCTTGAACATAAACATCACAAAGTTTTTTCTGGGTATGTCTTCCTAAGCAAGGGAAAGTAAAGCAAAAATGAACAAGTGGAACCACATCAAACTAAAAAGCTCCTTCCTGTGCAGCAAAGAAACCACCAACAAAATGAAAAGGCAACCTCTTGTATGGGAGAATATATTTATAAATGATATATCTGATAAGGGGTTAATATCCAAAATACATAAAGAAATCCTACAACTCAACACCAAAAAACCCACAAATAACCCAATTTGGGCAGAGGACATTAACAGATATTTTTCCAAAGAAGAAATACAGATGGCGAACAGGCGCATTAAAAGATGCTCCACATTGCTAATCATCAGGGAAATGCAAATAGAAACCACAATGAGATATCATTTAACACCAGTCAGAATGGCCACTATCCAAAAAAACAAGAAAAAAACAAGAAATAATAAGTGTCAGCAAGGATGTAGAGAAAAGGAAACCCTCCAACACTGTTGGTGGGAATGTAGATTGGTGTAGCAATGATGGAAAGCAGTGTGGGGGTTTCTCAAAAAACTGAAAATAGAAGATATACCATATGACCCAGTAATCCACTCCTAGGAATTTACCTGAAAAAGAAAAAATCTCTGATTCAAAAAGATATATGCACCCCTATGTTTACTGCCACATTATTTACAATAGCCAAGAAATGGAAGCAACTATCAAAAGATGACTGGATAAAGAAGATGTGGTTTGTATACACAATGGCATATTATTTATCCATAAAAAAGAAAATCTTGCCATTTGCAGCAACATGGATGGACCTAAACAGTGCCACACTAGTGAAATAAGTCAGAGAAAGGAATACCATATAGTTTCACTTGTATGTGAAATATAAAACAAACAAATAAAACAGAAATATATTCACAAACAGAATGGATAGTTTGTTACCATGGGAGAGGGAGGAATGGGTGATATAGGTGAAGGGGATAAAGAGGTACAAACTCAAATTAGAAAATAATTTAGTCACACAATTAGAAAATAATTTAGTCACACAATTTGAAATATAGTCTAATGGAATTATAGCTCACAATAATGCAGTATCTTTGTATGGTGACAGATGGTAACTACTGATCATGGTGAGCATTTAATAATGCATATGACTGATGAATCACTAAGTTGTTCATCTGAAACCAGTATTGTATATTAAATATAATTAAATAAAAAAGTGAAAAAAAAACTACAAGGGAATCAATCATTAAAACTTCTAAAATAAAAAGCACCAGTCTACTAATTCAAAGTCTACTCATTCAAATTTGACTAAATGCTTAAGGAAAAAAAATTACTAAATCTCCATAATTTCTTACAGTAAATAATATTTCTAAACTATACATTACAAATTATATGAGGCCAAAATCAGTACTAAATCAGATATACATTATACCATTAACCAAGACAATGTGTTAGTGGTGAGATACACACAGATCAATGCAACAGAACAGAGAGTCCAGAAACAGAACCACCAAAATATATTCAACTGATTTTTGACAAAGCCACATTATAAGGAAACTTAAGACCAAGATTTCCCATTAACATAGATGTAAAAATTCTCAAATATTGGTGAATAAAATCTATTTTGTATAGACAATGTATAAAAAGAAATACAAACCATAACCCAATTGGAATTTATTCCAGGTATGGAAGGCTGGGTCAACTTAAAAAAAAATCAATATAATCCAGCACATCAATAAGCCAAAGGAGAAAAATCATGATAATATCAACTGATGAAGAAAAAAGCATTTGACAAAATCCAATGGCCATTCACAATAAAAATTCTCAGCAAACTAGGAATAGCTGGGAATTTTCTTAGCTTGATGAAGACCATCTACAAAAACCTTAACAGCTTACATCATATTTAATGTTAAGAGACTGGACACTTTTCCCTGAAGCACAGAACAGGGCCAGGATGGATGTCCTGTCTCATGCTCCTATTCAACTTTGTACTGGAAGTCCTAGGCTAGTGCAGTGAGACCAAAAACGAACAAAACAAACAAACAAAAGAAACAGAAGTTATATGAATGGAAAGGAAAAATAATATTGTCTTTATTTAAAGTCAACATGTCTGTCAATGTAGGAAATCCCAAAGAATCTACAAAAAAAGAAAGAAAAAACAAACTCCTGGAAATAATAGGCAACTACAGCAACATTACAGGATACAACATCAATAAAGTAAACTGGTTTCTTGTATCTGAATAAACAACTTTCTAATTAAAAAAAATCATTTAAAATAACACCAAAAAAAGGGTATTCAAGTATACATATCTAACATATACAGGGATATAAAAAAACATAAAAACCAATGGAAGAAATCAAAGATGTAAATAAATGGATATTCCATCTTCTCAACTGGAAGACATTATTATTAAGATGTCAGTTCTTTCCAGCTTTATGTATAAACTTAATGCAATTCAAATAAAAATCCCAGCCATTTTTTAGATATTGACAAAACAATTCTGGTTTATACAGAAAGGTTAAAGGATCTAGAATAG